CATCTAGTTTCTTTCAATAGCATAATGCTCTGGAGATTCATCCATGTTGCAGCATGTATCAAACTGTTCCTTTTTATTCTTGACTAGTATCCCATTGTATTGATTTACCACATTTTGTTTATCCTTTCAGCAGCTGATTGACACTTGGACTGCTACCACTTTCTGGCTAGGAATATTCACATACAAGTCTTTGTGTAGATCTACATATCTATATTTTCATTTCTTTTGGTTAGATCATCAAGAGTGTAATTGCTGAGACGTATGGTAAATTAACATTTAACTCTTTAAGAAACTGTCAAACTTTTCCAAAGTAAGTGCAACATTTTACATTTCTACCAGCAATACATGGGAATGCCCCCTTTCTTGAAATACTTTCTTCTTTGAATTTCAAACATACTATACTTTTGTAGCTTTTCTTTTACCTCGATGACCATTCCTTCTCAATCCACTTTGCTGGATTCTCTTCTTCCAGACTTCTAGAGTTTCTTCTGAGCCTCTTCTTCATTTATATACTCTCTAGATAACTTTAATCTGCCCCAAAACTTTCAAAACCATTTTTATGCCAAAAACTCCCAAATTTGTATCTGTTACCCTAAACTCTTTCCTGAGGTAGATAAGCCTAAATCTGTTTACCTAGCATCTCCATTTGAATGTCTCCTTCACAATGAAAATGAAATGAAATATTTGTGTGTATATGTATACACACATGGTATTTTCTTTATCCTTTCATCCATGATGGACACTTCATTGTTTTCATGGGTGGCTATTAAATAAATAATGCTGCAGGGAACATAGGGGTACATACATCTTTTGAAATGAGTATTTTCATTTTCTTTGGATACATACCAGGAAGTAAAACTGCTGGATTATATGGCCATTCTATTATTAATTTTTTTAAGGAAACTCCATACTGTTTTCTATAGCAGCTAGACCAATGTACATTTCCACCAATAGTTTACAAGCGTTCCCTTCTCTCCACAGATACACACACATATATATATGTATACAATAAAATTAGGCTATAAAATATGAAATCTTGCTATTTGTGATAATATGTTAAGAGAAATCAGACAAAGAAATACCATAAGATTTCAATTACATATGGAATTTTAACAAACCCCCAAACCAAAAAAGCAACCAAACTCATAGATATAGAGAACAGACTGGTGGTTACCAAAGGTGAGGGGTAAGGATTGGGAGAAGTGGATAAAAGGAGTCAAAAGATGGGGCAGCCCTGGTGGCTTAACGGTTTAGTGCCACCTTCAGCCCGGGGTGTGATCCTGGAGACCCGGGATCAAGTCCCACATCAGGCTCCCTGCATGGAGCCTGCTTCTCCCTCTGCAGGCTTCTCTCCCTCTACCTGTGTCTCTGCCCCCCTCTCTCTCTGTGTGTCTCTCATGAATAAATAAATAAAATCTTAAAAAAAAAAGGGGAGTCAAAAGGTGCTAACTTTCAGTTATAAAATAAATAAGTCCTGGGGATATAAAATTGTGCAGCATGGTGACTATAGTCAATAACACTGTATTCTATATTTGAGAGTTTCTAATAGAGATCTTAAAAGACCTCATCATGAGAAAAACATTTTTTGTCACTTTGTGTGGAGACAGATGTTAACTAGATTTACTGTGATTATTTTGCAATATATACAGATGTCAAATCATTATGCTATATACCTGAAATGTCAATTCTACCTCAATAAAGAAAATCCACAAATCAATTTCTATCATTCTTCTGCTTTTCAATCTCCAATGGCTATTACAAAGAAAATCAAACATAGTATGGTCTGCAAGTCCCTACACAATTTGGCCCCTGCCCAATTCCCATCACACTCTGCCTCATTCAGTAGGCTCGTCAAGCTTGTCTTCTTTCTGTCCTTAATAATACCAAACTCTTTACCACCAACGACTTAACTATTGTTTCCTCTGTAAAAAACATTCTTCCTTTAGATTTTTGGACGGTGGCTTCATTTCGCTGTTCAGCCATCAGCTCACATTTCGCTTTTCTAGGAGAGTCTTCTCCAGAACAGCAAAAGTACCCTATCCTTCTCTATCAAATTCGTCCAATCTTGAATAGCATTTATTACTATACGAAGTCATATTTTGGTTTATTATTTGATTTCTGCCATAATATGTAAGCTCCATGACAGCAGGAATCTAGTCTGCTTTGTTTAATGGTTTAATCTTAGTGCCTAGAACTATACCCAGCCTTCAAATATGAATGAGGGATCCCTGGGTGGTGCAGCAGTTTGGCGCCTGCCTTTGGCCCAGGGCGCGATCCTGGAGACCCGGGATCGAGTCCCACGTCGGGCTCCTGGTGCATGGAGCCTGCTTCTCCCTCTGCCTGTGTCTCTGCCTCTCTCTCTCTCTCTCTCTGTGTGACTATCATAAATAAATAAAAATTTAAAAAAAATACGAATGAGTGTATATTTTCCTAAAGCATCCTTTGCTTCCCTCTGTTTTAACATGTGTCAACGCTGTACTGTAATCACCTGTTCTGCACAGCTGTAGTAGATACTCAATAGATGTGACCGAATAAAAGAGAGAAGCAATGAATGTCAAAAAGCATTAAGAAAAACAGAAAAATAGAGAACTCTGTAATAATACTTCCAAAAGATTAAAAATACATTAATAAAAGATACAAATTCTTCAGTATTTCATTTGTATGACCTACAACACAGCAAAAATCATATAAAGTAGACTAAACTTGAAGAATGGGAAAAAACATAAAATTTAGTTGATAACTCTCAAGACTCAGTTTTTTAAAATATGACAAATAAATAAATACAGTTTCTTAAATTCTAATGTTGAATAATACACCATCAATAAGGAAGAAATAATTTCTTTCATTCTCAAGTACTAGCCATGCTCCCGCCTATCCCAGGTTCTATGATATACTATTACTTTTGCCTATTTATGATATTCCTCTGTCTCTTCACTAGTTAACTCATTTGTCAGACCTCAAATGAGCCTCACTTCCTTACAGATGTTTTATATAGGTCAAATATCTATTCTAATTATGAACCTTTGAGGAGCAACGTATTTCTCCTTGTTAGGCTTGTTGCAGCTGTCTTCACATTCATTTGTGAGATTAGTTGATACAATAGTAGACTAAATGCTTTATGAAAACAGGGCCCATGTTTACTTTCATTCCTCATTGAATCCCCAATATCTAGTACAAGGTCCAACATATGAAAATATCTGTGGAAAGAGTAAATGAATGAGAGAGAGTGGTTTTACTTTTAAGGTCCCTCCTACTCCCAAATTTTTGTCCCATTATGAATGAACTCAGTGGAGACTTCTAGTACAATTGAACTGTATATTCTGCCATTGAACCTGATGCTTATTTAGAGTTCAAAGACTTTTGCTTCTTCATTCCTATTTGCTCTCAATAGCAACTATTTTCTTAGTACAAATGGAATTTGATTATTCAATTGGAAGAGATTACATAGAGAGAAAAAAAAAGAGAAAATCATGTAATAAAATCTCCTATTAAGAAATTTTAAAATACAATATGAAATGATTAATAAATATGATTAATAAATCCTCTGAAAACAAAGTTCCTTTTAATGGGGTGGTCTATCTGTGGAGGATTTAGAAAACACTTGGCACTCTGGACAAGAACCTGCCATGACCTCATACATTAAGGAGACCCCAGTCTTGGACTCATAAAGTATGGGTTAACAGAACTGTATAAGAAGAAAAATATTTACTTAGAGTCCTTTGTATGATATTGCCACATTTCAATAGGTACATTACAATTTTTTTTTAACTAGGACAGCAAAGAAGTATGATTATTTTACTAAAAATCATCTATAAAAAATGTATTTCTCAGAAAAGGAACTAGTTTACTTGAAGCACACTGTATTTACATTAAAGATAATGCTATTTTATCCATCACTATTACAGTTTCTTCTCAGAAGAAATGCCATTAAATCATTTAAAAACAATTATTCTAATGTTATTATTCTAATGTTAATGAGAATATTCTATAATGAGAATATGTATTTTTGGGGGGAGAATATTTTAAAATGAGAATTGTCTTAAGTTCTTAAAATTAAAAAAGTATCCATTTAAATTTAAGAATTTAAATTTAAGAATACAGTAATGAGAAATGAGGCTTGTTTTTTGTTCAAGTTCTAAAATTCATCATAAAAACATAACTTCTTAGTCATACTCTATTTTCGTTTTATGATTATGGTGTTTTCACATGGTCTATAAGTGTCTAATCACTCAACATACTGTGTAGTGTTTCTGACCTGAGTTTATAATTTCCAAAACTGAAACAGCATAAAAAAAAAACTCTAAAGAATATTTAAAGTCCAAAATAGTGACTCTCAAGTCCTCAAGACAACAAAAAGGGGAAAATATGAAGTTTATTAATTTTTTTAAAGATTACTTGAGAGAGAGAGAGCTCACACAAGTGAACACAAATGGGGGAGGGGCAGAAGGGGGGGAGGGCCAGAAGGAGAGAAGCAGACTCCCCCTCCCCTGCTCAGTGCAGAGCCCCACACCAGCTTGACCTTACAACTCTGAGATCATGACCTGAGACGAAATCAACAGTCCATGCTTCACTCACTGAACCACTCAAGCACCCCTGAAATTTATTAATTAAAATAGCAGCCATTCTACTCTACTTGGTTCCCCATCAGAACCCTCTCTTTTGACATGAAGTGTGGAGAGGATGGTGATAGTCCTGAGAAGAAAATGACCTACCTATCATCTCAACTGCTCAGTGGGACAGTCTAGAACTACACTCTTGACTCTCATCAACCTCTGGGGATAATCCTTCCCCATTCCATTCTTCTCTTGTCACCCTTTCTATTGGGAGAAGTCTACTCAAATGCCCAAGTTTATATAACAAAAGAGATTAAGTTAATTAAGTAAATGTACTTTGTCCTGCCCTAAAGGCAAAGGTGTGTTCTTGAAAGCAACATGGGCCAAGCATAGAGCTAGTTGCAAACTTTGTGGGCAGGAAAAACATCAGGAGATACCACCCATTACCTGAGTAGGACTCTGAAGACTTAAATCTAAACCACAAGTAAACTCCGTATGATGTTCCACTGTTTCAAGAAGAGGGTCAGGCTTTGAAAAGTTCCAGAATCTGTGAATATAAACAGAAAGAAATAATTTAGGTGCTAAAATTACCAAAAAATGTATCTAAGAAAAAAACAAGTATTTACCATAGCAGGGTCTTGATCAAAACAGCTTCAACCAAGTCATAAATACAGAGTCCCACTACTGAGCTACATAAAGAAAAAAATGTACTCCATTCTATTATATAAAAAATGAGGGATCCCTGGGTGGCGCAGCGGTTTGGCGCCTGCCTTTGGCCCAGGGCGCGATCCTGGAGACCCGGGATCGAGTCCCACGTCGGGCTCCCGGTGCACGGAGCCTGCTTCTCCCTCTGCCTGTGTCTCTGCCTCTCTCTCTCTCTCTCTCTCTCTGTGACTATCATAAATAAATAAAAAATTAAAAAAATATATATATATTTAAAAAAAAAAAAAATGAAATTATTAATCCATCTACCCTTGTAAAAGATTATTATATTCCCATTAGTATTCTTGTAGAATAGAAGCTTAATAAGTTTTAGTTTAATTTTTTTTATATTGCACAAGGACATTTAAGAGAGATACTAAAAAAAAAAAAAGATGAGAGATACTATGCTTTTGTAGCAATTTCTAAAAGCATTTATGATTATAAAATGAGGATAGAAGCTTAATAAGTTTTAGTTTAATTTTTTTTATATTGCACAAGGACATTTAAGAGAGATACTAAAAAAAAAAGATGAGAGATACTATGCTTTTGTAGCAATTTCTAAAAGCATTTATGATTATAAAATGAGGATATTGGATTATACAAACTCTAACATTTTGTGACTTTTAAATACTTCATTTCTCAACAACTGATATGAAAAGATCTTAGATTTAATTTACATTTCAACAGCAATTCAGATTCTTTAAAAACAATCTGTTCTCATGAAAATCTCTAATTCTGAAAATCGTCTTTTTGAGGCACAGTCTTTCTTATAGATTCTACATGAAGGTAATTTCTATAGAGTCAAGAAAAACTGAAATGTGTTTTCCTAGGCCAATATTAAGTATTCTATTTATCTATAGAAGACTGGGAGTGGTAATATTTACCATAATATGCCTCTGATTTCTACTGTACAGATAGGAACTTGGCTCTATTTTCAATACACAAAATAGTACTTTATCTCTAAAGCTGTATTTGCTCATCATCTTTCTTATTTGATTCTAAACACTCCATAGAAATGGCACATTCAGGATCATAGAGTCATACTCCAATTCAGCCTCCCTAATGATCTGCAACATGGAACACACTGAGGGTTTAGCAGATCTCTTTGAAAGAGAGTAAATACACAGAACCAACAGTCATAGTTTGTTTAACCTGGTGGTATTATTTCCCTAATAAATACAGTGTTGGTCTTATTAAGTTTGAAAAAGATTGTTGCTATGGATAAACCACTGTGTGGGTACCAGAGAGACAATGAATAAATAGCTCCTTTATCAGATTACTGAAATCTACAAAACATTTAAGGAGAGTGATTTTTACTTTTGAAAATTTCCTATTCAAACAAATGAGGGAACAGTCCTTTTCAGAAATCAAAATAGTGGCCTCCACTGCCTTTGCGTATTTGTTCCTTCGGGTCAAATGCAGTCCTTTTCAGAAATCAAAATAGTGGCCTCCACTGTCTTTGCGTATTTGTTCCTTCGGGTCAAGACAGATCTTGTACTGAAATCTAATTTTCTAGATTTTGATAATGTTTATATAAGCAAAAGTAAATAAGTCATCATGTAATTTCATTTCTAGAACATGGTTATTCACTGATTTGCATTACTTGAAACAGTAATCAAATGATTTTGTATATACCCACTATGTTCCAAAAAATATTCAAAATGGTTTTAAAAATGAGTATTGATATGGCCTAAAAAATGAGTTAAAAGAAAAGGATAGGAAAGTAAATTTGAACCTGCAATGAAATTGATAAACAAAAATAAAGAGCATCCTCAACATCTTCGAAGGAAACACAGAGATGTTGCTTCATAGGCCGCTACTCATGAATCAACGGTATTCATTCCAAAGGGTAGTAGAATCATTCTGTGGGAAGGTCAACTTCATCTATATTCAACTTTCTGACTTCATTTGGGATTTAGATTCTATTTCAATCAAATAGATGGGCATTTGTCTTTAGACTAATCATAAAAATTGGTTTCTGAATTTCAGCAGAACTTTTTAAGGATAATAAAAAGCAAAAGGATTCATTTGTACCCTCCTGACAAGTTCCTAGGATGCAGTTTTTGTTATTATTGTGTTGTTTTGAGCCAGTTAAGGAAAAGGCTGCACTTAGGACAAGAGAGGTGGGCCTTAATACAATTTAGGATGCCCAGTAAGGATGCATGTGTGAAAACATCTAACTTTGGCTTGCAAGTATGACAAAGGAAGTCACACATGCAGGAGGGCTGAAATTCTCCCCAAAAGTCAAGCTGGGGGTGCCTGGCTGGCTCAGTCAGTAGAGCGAGTGACTCTTTATCATTAGTTCAAGTCCTGTGTTGGATGTAGAGATTACACAAATAAATAAAACTTAAAAACAAAAAGTAAAGCTGAATTTACTCTAATACACAGCTTAATGGGTGTTCAAGGTACCATACAGCTCCACATCAGAGTCACACTCACCATAACTTTAACCTGGGAAAAACTACCAGGTATTTACCCACAATCTGCAAAACATTCATCAAACAAGATGCATGCTAAAACTCTAAGGATACTATTTGGTGAAGGAAGGGTTAGTGAATGCCAAAGAAGCACTATCAGCTTATTACATCAGTTCACAGCTCTCATAGAAATTACATAATACACAAACTATGCATATTATGCAACTTGTACAAAAATTTTGAGAGGTTGACTTCCAGCAGAATAGCTGATGAGGTGTCTAGACCCACATTCTTACCGAAAAAAAAATTCCTAGATAATACATAAAAACAAATACTACCACAAAAACTTCATAAGAGCATCAATGAGGGACACTCAGGTCAAAACTAAGACTGAAGCCCAGAGCAGTGTATCAACAATAAGCCAGCTTTCACCTTGACAGAGTTTGCTAAACAGGGAGAACCAGAGCTTTGACTTTAACTTCGAGGGCATCAGGAGCCAGAAAAGTCAGAAAAACTAATATTCATAATTTAAAAATAATTTTCAGTAAACTATCTTAGCAAACATATCAAGTGAAATACAGTAGATGGCACAAGCTAAATAAGTTGAGAAAACCACAAGCTAAGCAATGCATCTATACACTACCATTTATTCTTTCATCACTAAAGGCTTTTTTAATAACAAAAGAAAAAATGTATTTTCTTCCTCATTCCCCCTCTCAAATGGCATTGAACTGTTAGCAGTTCAATGTGGACACATCCAAAACTGCTCTATGTTTCTCCATTCCAGTTCCACCAGGAAGGGGCAAGCAGTAAGAAGAAGATGAGCGTTTCTCCACATTTTCTCATGTTAGCAATTAAGGCAGTAGGCAAGGTCTCTCCTCCCAATCTTTTGAAATCAAAGGTCCCAGGAGCTCTACATATCTGAGAACCTTCATATGCCTATCATACAAGTAAAATAGGCTCCTTTTATTGGGAGAAGTCAGGCTACATATATCATTAAGTGGTCAAATTAAGCATATTACTGTTAAGTGCAATGTTTGCTTTGGTCCAGCACATATACTACTTGGTGCCTTTTTGTCTCTTTGCTGATGAAATCACTGCCTATTTAAGCTCTCTCATGGGAAGCAAATATACAGGACAGGCCTCCAATGATTAAAAATATGACAGAACTGTGGGAACATATTTCATTTAAATTGGAGATGGAGAGAGAGAAATATTTATCACAGTACCAATGCCTTCTTTGGGTTCCTGTTTGCCTTCTGATTCCACACTTCTTTTTTTAAAGATTTTATTTATTTATTCATGAGACAGAGAGAGAGAGAGAGAGAGAAAGAATGAGGCAGAGACACAGGCAGAGGGAGAAGCAGGCCCTATGCAGGAAGCCCAACACAGGACTCAATCCCAGGATTCCAGGATCACGCCCTGGGCTGAAGCCAGGCGCCAAACCGCTGAGCCACCCAAGGATCCCCTGATTCCACACTTCTTTAAAAAACAAGTATGTAGCACTATGTTAAATAAAACACCCAAAGTATTTCAAAAATAAAGTTAAAATTATTTTTTACTCTACTAAAACATCATTTGGAATCCCTATACTAATACTTCTGAAATTCAGCCAACATATGAGTTCAGTAAAAGATTTATGATATTTTTCAAAATTCTTCTTATTCCTTTCCTATTCTCAACTTACAGATTGGTCCATAATTCTTTGTAAGTCTTTCCTAACTACAATAAAAAGATGGGAAACAATTTTGGCTACTTTTCCATACCTTACATGTAAATGAATTTTAGTCAAGCTGAATTTTAATTAATTTTAGTCACATTAATTTTAGTTGCATTTTTAAAATTCTAAGCAAATTGCACAATTATAATTCCCTGTTTGCACTGCTTTGGTCTAGTGTTCTCTAGAGTGATGAGCAAGAAATATCACAACAGCTTCTTTTCTTGTTGCTTAATTACTTGTCATTCAACAATTTATGAGCCTCGTATATGCTACATACTGCGCTGGCCACCAGAAGCAAGAGAGATGTGGCCTCAGCACTCCTTCCTGCAGTTCTGAGTTCAGTGGGATAAGCTGACATTTTTTTAAAAGGCCAGAGAAACACATAAATGTTACTGCAATTGACAAGTGCCCTGGAAGATAATGCAGGATGGTATAAGAATGACATCCTGGGGTGCCTGGAAGGCTCAGTCAGTTAAGTCTCCAGCTCTTGATTTTGGCTCAGGTCATGATCTCAGGGTCCTAAGATCAAGCCCTGCATTGGGTTTCATGCTCAGCACAAAGTTTGCTTGAGATTCTTTTTCTCTTCCCTTTGTGCTGTAAGTAAATAAATCTTCCAAAAAAAGAAAAAAAAGAAAAAAAAAAAGAATGACATCCTGAGGAATTGACACTGAGCTGAAATCTGAAGGTTGAAGAGTTAGCCAGGTAGAA